TCATCCCAGAACTTCTGCAGATGCAGGATTGTGAGTTGTACCTGAAGTCCGAGGTGTAGAGGGTGAACAGAAACAGTGAGAGGACCGTCCCCTGAGGAGCCCCTGTGCTGCTCAGTATGGTGTCTGATGTGGTGTTCTGCAGCTTTACATACTGTGGCCGACCTGTGAGGTAGTCTCTGATCCAGGTGATCAGCAAGTCACTCACCCGCATGTCCCGGAGCTTACTGCAGAATGTGTATTTAAATCCCAGTCTGGGGGCCTTTCTGGGTGAGTTTGCATTTTCTCTCCGTGCATGTGTGGGTTTTCTACGGGTACTCATTTCCTCCCACAGACCAAAAACATGCATGTTAGGCTGATTGGTAACTCTAAATTGTCCCTAGGTGTGAGAGAGAGAGTGAATGGTTGTTTGTCTCTATGTGTCCCTGTGATGGACTGGAGACCTGTCCAGGGTGTCCCCCGACCCTCGCACAGTGATTGCTGGACATGGGCACCGGCGACCCCCGTGACCCAAAATAGAAGAAGCGGGTAAAAGATAATGGATGGAGGTGTTAGTACATTGTTTTATTCCCCACACCAATAAACAAACACAATGGAACAAAAGTGAAAAATGTAAATCATATAAAAGATAATTGAAATGGTAACTTATGTTAAATGTTTGTTAAAAAAAATAGACACCAGCTCTCTGTGACCTAGAAAGGAAAACCAAGTAAAGCAAATGGATAGTTGGATAGATGAATAATTCATTGATTATTAATAATGTATTAAACCCTACAACATTCCTCCTACACCTATAATTAAACTTCCAGGATATGACATTTGAGTATTCTATAAGAAATGTCAGAATAAAAGTTGGCACTCAGTCATATGAGTTATAATCCTGAGGAGAGTATGTTAACGACTGAATGAAGGAATCCAGATGCTGATTTATTTTTGGCAGTGACATCTACATGTACCTGTGTGAGCAGCACTGCCAGACAGTGAGAATTGTCCCAGAGGTCAGTGGTGGATACAGCGTCAGGTCTGACACGGTGACAAGTTGAATACAGCAGGACTAATTCACATGGACACAAAGTATATTTTCCCTGAGTTATGGTTGAGATAAGCCAAGAGTGTGACAGCTGTAGGCCAAAAATGTTTTATAACAAGTCCTAATAAATATCATTCTACCTCAAAGCTCCAATTTCACACCCAAAATCAGTATGCCACTGTTCCCTGTCTCTGAGGGATTTGAATAATAAGTGTTTGTAGTTTTAGGATGACTGAACATGGAATCCAAGTAAAATTTTATGTTTATAAAGTTTATAAGTTTAAAAGTTTATTAGATTACAATGTTTATATTCAAGTGGGAGTCATACCATGTATAAAATATATGTAGTTTTTCTTTTCTTTTGCTCGCCCAAGGTAGGACAGAGTGATGGGTTCTGGTGAGTGAAGGGAGACATTTTATTTACTTCCAGGTGCAGTGGTGGAGCCAGACGGTAGCCAATGGTGGCCTAGGCTGCCCCAATCGTTTAAGGAAACTATACATTGAAGAAACAGAAAGAATGCATAGTTTCCACAAACTACTGGGGTGGCTGGTTTAAATAAATA